CCGAATGAATGGAATAATGTGAACTGTGGGCCTCCTTAAGAATCAACTCACATAGACCATTCACATTGGGCACACAAATCTGACCCTGCATCCGCAACACCCCATTATCTCCAATAAAAACCTTCTTGGCATCACCGTGTTGAACCGTGTCATAAAGGTCAAGCAAATGGCGGTCGTCATACTGACGCTCTCTGATGCGATCATATAAAGAAGAGCAAGAAACCATGCAAGCTAGAACAATACTAGGATCCGAAACATCTAACCTTAGGAACTGATTGGCCTAGGACTGAACATCTGATGGATTTGGTCTCTCACCAACAGGAATATATGCAAGGCTACCCATACCCATAGCCTTTCTACTCAAGGCATCAGCCACCATATTGGCCTTCCTATATCATAGTCTTTTAACAGTTCCAACCATCTCCCCTGCCTCAAATTTAGATCCTTTTGCTTGAACAAGTGCTATAGAATCCGATGATCCGTAAATGCCTCACAAGACACATCGAAGAGATAATGCCTCCAAATCCTCAATGCATGGACGATGGCTGCCAACTCTAAATCATGAACAGGTTAGTTCTTCCCATAGGGCTTCAATTAGCATGAAGCATAAGCAATCACTCTACCCCCTGCATCAAGACATACCCAATACCAATGCGAGAAGCATCACAATATGATGTACTTTCAAGGTTTTGCACCTCTCAAGTACAAAGAAGAGAGAAAAACAAAAGCACCCCGCTAAAGTTTTTCACAAAACTAGCGAAAGCGTTCTTCAAACTCACGTTAGAAGAATGTAAGATGGAAATAAACCTCACCCACACGTTGCCCAATCCCTCAAGATTGCAAGAAGCGTTGAATAAAGGAAGAACAATGAAATAAAAAGTAAATCACGTTTTTGAAGCAATAGCTTAGAAAAACTAATCACCAATGTTTATTTTCAGCATATGAAGCCCTTTAAATAGGCCTTACAATGAGTAAAATTGGTAAGGTTAAGGAAAACTAATCCTAATTAGACTAGAATAAGAATAAGGCTAAGAAAATCTATCCTAACTAAAATAGGAAAAAGAATTCTAGTAAGAATGGGATACCAACTAACAATTCTAGTTTGACTAGAACTACAAATATAATCCTACTAAAACAAGAATTAAATTACTAGGAAATAAGAAATAACAAATCCTAATCTTTAAGGAAAAGAAATCCTAATCTTGGATGGATTCTTCGCTTCTTGAATTTCATGAATTTTTAGCATTCTTGATCTTGCATCACAATACACTGTATAAGAACCTGATGTTGAAGTCAAAACATGACTGTAGATGTGGTAAAGGCGGTCTTGAGCTTCTGAAAGCTCTCCTCACACTCGTCAGAACACCTGAATGGGGCACCCTTTTTGTTCAATCTAGACAAAGGCACACCAATGGACGAGAAACCCTCCACGAAGCAGTAATAATATCCAATCAAGCCAAGAAAACTCTAAATCTCAGTAACTGAAGACGGTTTACCAACTCTAAACTACCTCAATCTTTTTTTGATCCACCTTGATCCCCTCACTGGACACCACATGCTCCAAGAACGCCACCGAATTGAGCCAAAACTCAAACTTGGAGAACTTAGCATAAAGCTTCTCCTCCCTCAACATCTGTAGTACAATCCTCAGAAGCTGCATGCTCCTCCTGGCTACGTGAGTACACTAGGATATCATCAGTAAATACTATGACAAACGAAACAAGATATTGCTGGAATACACTATTTATCTGATGCATGAATGCGGATGGGACATTGGTCAGCCCAAAGGATATCACAAGGACCTCGTAGTGACCATAGCGGGTCCTAAATGTCGTCTTCAGAATATTAGAGTATCAAATCTTCAACAGGTGATACCTAGACCTCAAATAATGGGGAAGTATTACAAGCGAAGGAGGCCATTGAAGAAGAGGTGATTTGTTTCTATAAGCAGCTATTAGGATCAATGGAATAATTTTGAATATCGGTTTATTAGTAAAAATCTTTCTCCAGGAGAATAATTACCTACAATTAACCTAACTGTCATGAGGGATGGCCCAGTTTTGAATAGAGAATAGCAACTTCAGTTGATTGCCCTTATAACAAGTGAGGAAATATATTAAGGCTTGAAAGATACCAGTGATCTCAAAGCACCTGGGTGTGATGACTTTGATGCCATGTTCATTAAGAAAGCTTGGTCTGTTATTGGAAATGAAGTTACTGTTGCAGTGCAGGAATTTTTCTCCAAAGCAAATTTGTACCGAGCTATCTATTGCACTATTGTCACTCTTATTTCGAAAGTTGCTAATCCTTCAAAGATCACAGAGTACATACTTATATCTTGATGTACATTGTTATACAAGATAATCTCAAAGGTGCTTACTAAGAGGCTGCAGAAAGATATAGACTAGCTAGTGGATAAAAATTAATCTGCTCTTATCCCTGGTAGATTGATTAGTGACAACATTATACTTAGCCATGAATTGGCCAAAGAATATGGTAGAAAGGGATTATTGCCAAGATGCATGTTAAAAGTAGACATGACAAATTTTCAGCTAAATTTATTAGATGGAGTATGAGATGTATCAAGATTTTATCGTACTCCATAATACTCAGTCATCCAACAGTCCATTTTTCAGTCAAGAAAGGATGGAGACAAGGAGATCCCCTCTCACCTTTCTTAATTGTTTTGGCAACCTCACAAGGCATCTAAAGCAACTAAGGAAGAACCTCAATTTCAACTATCACCCAAAATGCTCTAAGATGAATATTGTGCAATTAAGCTTTGTTGATGATCTCTTTTTGTTATGCAGAGGAGATACTATCTCGGGTTGTTGTATACTTACTTTCACGAATTTTCTCAAGCTTTTGGTTTGGTAGCAAAGGCAGACAAAAGTTGCATATATTTTGGAGGAGTAAATAGTGAAATTCAATAACAAATATTGCACCTGCTATGCTTCTCGCAAGCTCACTCCCTATCAAACACTTAAAGGTACCCCTTAGCACCAAAAGAGTATCAATAGCACAATGCAAACCTCGGATTGATAAGATGTTAGGGAGAATTCAATCATGGACTACAAGGTTCCTATCATATGATGGTAAATTCAATTGATCAGAAGTGTTCTACAAGAGGGGTTGAGCTGTCAAAAAAACACTGATTGCATAAGACAAACTATGTTATCCTAGATCAGCAGGAGGCTTAAAATTCTTGATGTGATCACATAGAACAAGGGAGCCATATGTAAACTCTTGTGGAATTTGTGTAAGAAGAAAGATAAGATGTGGGTGCAGTGAGTTCATATTTACTATGGGAAGTAAGGTACAGTGTGGGAGCACAGCCAAAGCAAGCCTCATGGATAGTACAAAAGATTATGAAGCCAGGAAAATACTACGAGGAACTTGGCTGGACAAAGGATGAGGTACAAAGAATTGAGAAGTTCTCCCTCAAGGAAGGTTATCTGAAGTTAAGAGGAGAAGGTTAATTGGAGGAGGTTAGTATGTATAATGCTGCTTCTCCAAAATAGATTTTCAGTCTGTATTTGGCCACATTGGGGCAGGTTGCTTACCAAGGAGAGGCTAGCAAAGTGGGGATGTCTAGATAATGTGGTTGTTCCTTATGTAATGTTATAGTAAAGAACACTGATCATTTATTTTTCAACTGTACCTCCTTAGCACAAGTTTGGAGAGCAATATTGCAGTGGTAAGACATACGACGACGACCTATGAGCTGGCAACAGAAGATAGAATGAGCAACCACACATTATAAGGGCAAGAATGCAGCAGCTGAGTCTACAGAATGAGTCTAGCAGGATCCACCTATTATATATGGCAGGAGAGAAACCTCAGGGTCTTTCAAGATTACTATCTGTGTGCTTAACTGATATATCTAGTCTACGATCTTTTTTTGATAGATAAGGAAGGGCAGTAAAGCTTACACACCTGGGGCTGTATGTCCAATGTGTGTTCTTTTTTTCTTATGTTTTGTAAATATTATGCGGTAAATAAAATCTTTACTTGCCATTAAACAAAAAACAAGCATATTGCAAGTAGTTGATGTAGACAGGTTATAAACAACTCAATAAAATGACGTGCAACAATTTCTTAATAAACAGGCAAGTTGCAAACAGTTCATACAGACAGCTTGCTTCTAAAAGCCTTGCAACAGCTTTCTTTCTTTCTTTCATAAATAGCTCCCTTGTAATCTTTGACTATATTTCTTGTCTTGCATTTATAAATTTATAGCACCTATTTTATTTTAAGTTATCCTCTTGCTTCTTTCATTGACAAAATGTCACTAGCTAGCGTGAAAATTTTGGTGCCAACGAAACTAGCTTTACGAATAAAGCTTTCTTCAAATTGACTGGTTGTTGTTTACCGATTGGTGCACAACTGAGATTCTTTTATCTCTGTGCTCAAACCAATCAAAGAGTTAGCTTTTTTATATAAAACAAGATCAACTAAATATTTTCTTCATTTAATGGGCACCAAACCCATGCATATCCAATTTGTTCACGGCGCCGTAGTAAAGAGAAAGAGGCCCCATTCACTCTACTACTAGCAGATAACATTTTGTTTTCAGTCTTAACTAGTCATTACTTTTGGTGGCATCCCAGCAGGCGGCCCCTTAAGTTTAAAAAAGAAGCACATCTATGTATGAGTCTGTTCTCTTACCTTATTTAATTGTATGTTCTATTGTGGGAAAACTTGAAGAAGTGGTACAGGTTATGTGTCTTTGCAAGAAAAATACGATTCGAATATTTTATGTACCCCTTTAGATGTGTAGCACCATGTGCGAATTGTATGAAGATTTTGTTTCAGCTTTCAACTGCGCATTTTTCGATCCAACAAAATGAGACGGTACGAAATTCTTACCACCACTAAAGACTTCAATTTTTTTTTGTCATCGACATGTCGATAGTACCACCAAAATTAAAGGTGTGGTGAGATAGCTGAATTTTCATCACCCTTAATAGGAGAGTACCGTAACCTTTTAATTTTTATAGCTTTATAAATATACTTAACGTGAATCTCAATTAGTTATATTTGGAATACTATATGCCCAGAAAAAGACATGTCGTTGTTGGCCGCTTCATAAGCCAGCTTTGCACTATATATGTATGCTAAAGATAATAGTGACTCATCCTTCTCGTCCACTCGGACCCCAATACTCCCACATAACCCATATTCTAGAGCACATATTTCACGTTTTCATTCACGTCCATTTCATGAATACATAACACCACCCAACCTTCCAACTTTTTTATGCCTCCCCTTACTCCAATCCTTTATCTCTTTAAATTTAGATATCATTTGCAAATTGCAAACTCCCCAACACCTCTTGTCTTTCTTGCCTTTCTTTTTCTTTTTCAATCTGATAAATGTGTCCCAAACACGGACGTTTTATTGCCTTTCTATGTAGGATTTTCTTAGTATTAATAAAGTAAAGTACTGTCTAATCACCATCATCATCGTACTTTGCTTTGTATTATAGCTCGAGATAATCAGACACCTTATTGAAGAAAAAAACTAAAGAAAACAGAAAAAAGAAACTAGTTATGAATAATCCCAAAGATTGGCCAGAACCCATAGTCCGGGTGCAATCTTTATCAGATAGTGGCATCTCAAAAATTCCAGATAGATATGTGAAGCCACCAACGGAGAGACCAATATCGTTAGGCAGGTCCAGCCTGCAGACTGATGTTAACATCCCGATCATTGATCTTCAGGAATTGTTTAACGATATTGAAAGCAGAAGGTTTAGTGGTCTTACATCATCAGTAGTTGAGCAAATATCAGAGGCATGTAGAAACTGGGGTTTCTTCCAGGTGGTGAACCACGGGGTTCCTCCAGAGCTCATAGACCAAGCCACAGAAGTATGGCGAGAATTCTTTCACCAGCCCATGGAAGTGAAGCAGTCTTGTGCCAATTCACCGAAGACGTACGAAGGTTATGGCAGCCGCCTCGGTGTAAAGAAAGGAGCCATTCTGGATTGGAGTGACTATTATTTTCTTCACTATCTTCCTTGTTCATTGAAAGACCAAAAAAAGTGGCCTGCTCTTCCTGTTTATTTAAGGTACGTACTACTCTGCCACGCTTTTTTTCTTGGAAAGCTACTCTACTGTCATATTCTTATCATGTCCTTCTTTATTTTTTCTTTTCTTCAACTATTCATGATTTTTTGGAATATTATATTTATGGGGTCCGAGCAATTAGGTTTTCAAATAGTTGTAGTTTACTGGAAATATTTTGAAGAGTTTTTTTTTCTTCTTGTACGTGGGTATTTTGTGTTAAATTCTTGTAAGAACATACAATTTGCTTGACTTTATTCTCAAAAAGTAAAAGAAAAATTTTGTTTTTAAAACAGATTGCTTTTTATTTCTTATATAAATATAAATTTCTATTTTTAAGTTCTTCTTTACTTAAATTATATACACTGGTAATATAAAAGTTTTTTCACACTATCAGGACAGTTACTATTCTTACCATCTACATGCTACAGCTTATCAAAAAAAATTCTAACAATTGATCAATGTATAAATTTGAACGCTTTACGTCACAAAAATGTAGGGAAGTAATTGAAGAGTATTCAAAACAAGTGGTGAATTTTGGGGGGCGTTTAATGAAGGTATTATCAGCAAATCTTGGATTAAGAGAGGATTACTTGCAAGATGCATTTGGAGGAGAAGATATTGGAGCATGTTTAAGGGTTAATTTTTACCCAAAATGTCCACAACCAGATTTAACCTTAGGTCTTTCTCCACATTCGGATCCTGGTGGCTTAACCATTCTTCTCCCTGATCAGCACGTCGCGGGCCTTCAAGTTCGCCGCAACGGCGACTGGATTACTGTAAAACCCGCTTCGCATGCTTTCATTGTCAATATTGGTGATCAAATTCAGGTGAGTTAAATTACAAAAATTAACTTCTTTTTTACTACTCAAAAGTTTCTTATTTAATGTATTGTTTGTGTAGACATATAATGGTACATAGCACATGGGAGGGGTCTTGTTTTGATATGATTTGCAAAAACGAACAGTCAGTACCACTTTGCTTTTGTTCCTGGTAAACCATAAAGTATTATAAACGTGCGTATATTAATTAATATCATGTCTTGTTTGATGTATTGTTGGGTCAGTACGTTCTGATAAAGTAGAAGACCAAAAACAAGATATTTAAAGACATACTAGCATCAACCAGCTGTTTAATTAACTTTTAGATAAACACCCATTTGACCATGAAATACTACTTGCTCCATCGCAAAATAAGTACTCACCTTTATGCTTTTTGAGAGTAAATTTGAATTATATCAACTCAATATTTTAAAATCACAATCAAGATATTTAAGAACTATAAAAGTACTATAAGTTGCAAATCTTCTCATCTCAATATAATAAAAATATTACTCCTCTGTTCCAATTTATGTGAACCTATTTCCTTTCTGGTCCGTTCCAAAAAGAATGACCCCTTTCTAAATTTGGTAACAATTTAGTTTAAACTTACAATTATACCCTTAATAAGAAGCTTTTATAATCACACAAATACTCTAGGCGCCTTTTTGACTTGTTTAGGACCAGAATTTTCAAAAGTATTCATTTTTTTTAAATTCCGTGCTCGGTCAAACAGATTCATATAAATTGGAACGGAGGAAATATATTTTAAAAATATTGATTATAGTTCATATGGTTTGAATCTCGAAAAGCAAAAAGTGACACATATTTGGAAAGAATGGAGTAGTATTTATTCTCACTATTTTGCAAATAGTTAAGCTGTTATAGTAAATATAGTGGTCAATTATTCAACATCTTGTTTGAAAATTATTTAAATGAAATTATGGTTTTTACTCACATTCAAGTGAAATTGGTATTCAAATACAATTCAAAAGTCATTCCCCTACTAGAAAACTAGTTAGCTACAACAACTTTAAAAATTAGAAGAAGAAAAAAAGAGTTTTTAGCGCATGCACAATGACCAAACCATCAAATCCTATCTAATAACACAAACCCTTTAAAATACAATAACTATCCAATTTTTTTTTAAGGAATATTTTATAAAGTGAAAAATAGCCATAGATTCTTTGCCGACAATCGTACATTTAATTTAATCACGTGGGTAAATGGTGAAAGTGCCTCAACTCTATTTTTTCTATTCAAAGATAAGGTACAGTAGGCAATCTTTGACTGCAGTCACTACATTACCAAAATTGAAAATCCTACTAGATTCTAGCATCCACATTGCCCATCAATATGCCAATATACCATATTATTTCTTCTTCTTTTTTTGGTTTTGTTTGGAGGGCAGGTGTTTACCGTAAAAATGGTAATAAAATTAAATTTAATTTAATGGATCTAAAAATACGTGATCTATTTTTATGCTAGTTGTTAGGGCAATAGATGCTAAGTGATGTACTTGGAATCAAGAAAAAAGCTTGAGAGCAAAGTGATAACCAAACCAAATGATTAATAATCGGGGCCTCAAGCTTGCCTATTTGAGGGCCTCAGGGTCAAGTATGAAGCTCGGCTGGGAGCTATCGAGGGTAATCAATGGGTGACTAATAGTTATAATATAATCAATTGCGGCTCTTTATGGCCAATAATAAGCAATAAATTAAGAACAATAAATAGAAGACAATAAATATAGGCAATAAATGGAAGCAATAATATCAAGAGAATGTGTTAGAGAGCAGAGAAAATGTTCTTGTGTATTTAGTATTGAGCAATACAAAATGATGTATACAAAATGACAAGGATCCCCTTTATATATGAGGGGAATTTTAACATAGTACAAAAAGTATTAATTACAAAAATATAGAGATGGAACAGCTAATTGATGTCATGATTCGTGTCTGAATTTAACTCACTAGACTTTGTCAGCTCTAGTTATGAGCCTTGGAAACTCCCCACTTTTCCATCATAGCTATTGGTCTGCAACGCCCCGAGGTCGAGCGTCAATAGCCCTCGAGGGTGAACCTCGACCCTAGTCTCGAACCTTGTGAAATATGCTTATGAGGCACCATAATGACGGAAAATTGGACCCTCTGATTTTATCGTATACAGGTAGTCCCCACGTTTCTTAGAGTGAAAGTGATAAGAAATGACCTTGAATTCTTGCCCCTCTGGTACTTCCGCAATGACGGCAGTTATAAGGTGCCAAAAGACGGAGTATATACAGCCCTTGAAAGCCTTCGCATTGATTACAGCGGTTGGCTGTCCCTTGGCCTCCTTCAACGTGCGTGTGAGGCCTCTATAAATACTTCTCTTCTCGTTCTTTACAACTCACTGCACCACCAAGCCCCCCAAAAAGTTCCTTCTACCTTTACTTTTGTTCTTTCTTTGAAACGCAACTTCCCTTTCTCTTCTAAAATCTTTTAGAAATGGCGAAAACTTCCGCCTCTGCTTTTCAGGAGAACGTGACCTCCTCCTCTTCGCTTCCATCTAAAGGCAAAGCGGCAATGCCTTCTCGTGCTGAGGAATGCGTTCCAGAATTCTTTGCAACGGCTTCCGATTTCAAGGCGAGAGACCTTCTTCGAAGCTTGGGTGTCGTGAGCCTGTGTCTCAGTATATTAGCTTAGTAACAGACGTCGAAAGGGTGAGGACTGATTGCCGCTGGGGGCGCGGTGCTTGTGGAGATTCCTACCCGGGAGAAGGATATAACGACATACAAAGCTGATTTCCTCAGTGTGTATACTTACCCATTTACCCTTGGGCCGGTGGGGCCATCCTTGCTTCCGATAGACCCTGTGATTCTCGACTTCTGCCAACGGTACCAAGTGACCCTCGACAAAATTCACCCTTCATTTTGGCACACTGTCTACATGATCAGGTACTATGTGAACATGACTGAGGAGATGCCCTTCACCTTCGATCACCTGATCAAGATGTACAACCCCCGTCTCTTCCGTGGGGGTCTAATTAAGCTCCACTGCCGAGCTCCGAGGGCCTTTTTTGCTTGCATCGAAGAAGTTGGGAATGGTGGGTGGATGAGCCACTTTGTTCGAGTAAGGACTTCGGACCTGATCCCGGTGGAAAGGATGTTGTTCCTCAAAAGGTGGAATATGGAACGTAAGTGGATACACTATCTAGAATTTCCTTGCTTCTTTTTAGGTACATCATTCCATGCGCTTAATTTTTTCTACTGATGCAGCCGTGGCAATTTATCCTGGCGCAATCACGGACCTCTCGGGTTGGGTCGGCCGGCTGGACTCGATTTGCCCATATGCCAAACGAGTGTGGTGTGACCTGTATCGAGCTCGATGGGAAGCTAAGGACCATGGTGAGCCTTCACCCCTGTTGCAGTTGTACCTTTCAACCTGAATTGCTACTGATAGTGCTCTTACTCTCTATGCTTTATTTTTTCATTTGTGTAGGTTTGGGGGAGATCCCCTTGATGAAAGGAACATCGCTTAGTGAAGAGGGTACTTTGGGACCTGATGAAGGGAGGAAAAGACAAAGGGAACCATCGAATGAACCTCCAGAATCCAAGAAGATGAAGGTGGAAGAAACTAAGGTCGACCCAGAAACCCTAACTCTGAGAACAGCAGGAAGTCCCCGAGTTTAAGGTGAGGGGGAAAATAATTTCTTGAAAGCGTCTAAGGGATGGGAAAACCTGACCGACCCTCAGGCCATAGAGATGGTGGCTCCTGAGCTGGAGCTCGATGTTGTCGCAGTCCAACCTCGGAATGGAGAGGCCACTGAGGGAGTATCGGGCGATGTCCCCGAGCCAGCCGATGGCCAAAATATCCCTAGAGCTAGAACGCATTCGGTAGATGGTTTGGAGGAGCCCAGTTCTGGAGCCCTTCATGGCCAAGAGATGGCCTTGATTGACCCTGCTAGTGTCGTTGTCGTGAGTGATTCCCCTTAGGGAATGACCTTACCCCCTAAGGGAATGCAAGATGTCCCGAATGAAGAATCTTCTGATGCAGGGGTGCTTATCGAAGACAGAGAGGCACCTAAAAAGCCTTCGACCGCTCCCGAGGGAATTCCCGAGCTCGATGCTTCACTCGTTTTCAGTGAGATGAGCAGGCTTTGCGAGCAGGTACTTTTTGTAAATCCTGTCTATCGTTCTGATCTTTGTTGTTCTGATCTTTGTCTTTTTAACTTATCTTTTTCATGGCTCAGCTAAGGTGCTTTATATTCAGACCTTGGCCCGGTTTTAGGCTGAGGTGACCCGTCATGAGCGTGAGAAGGCTCATCTTGTTGAACAGGTTACGTAGTTTCCTTTTGCTATCGTCTAAATGTTTGTAAGATCCCAATGTTTTAACATCTTGGATTTGATTCACACAGTTTGAGAAGAAAGGTGCCCTACTGAGGGAGGAGCTCTAAGCCAAAGACTCTGAAGTCCTCGAACTCAAACGGCATGTGAGAGAGATAACCTCTAAGAGGGTTACCCTCCAGGAAGAGATTGCCTTAGTCGGGCGTCATCTTCAAGATGTGAGGGTGGATAGTGCCAAATATATAATTCTCCACTCTGAGTTAGTAGCTGCACTATGCAGGATCAAAACCGAAGCTGAGGCACTTATATCTACGCACAAAGAGGGTGTCGTAATAAATGCTCACATCGGGAGAGTGCCTGAGGAGGCTGAACTGAAATTGACTCGAGTCGTGGAGCACGCTCGGTTAGAATCTCAGAGGCGAACTCTAGAGGACATACATACAAGGGATATCGATTTGTCTGCCGAGCTTGAGAAGGTGAAGACCCTAGAGGAGAGAGCTGCTACCCTGTTTGCTTTTGGAGATGCGTAGGGTTGTGGTTTAGAAGATGACAAGAATGGAGGCGGGATTCCTTGAGGGGAAGAGGCTGTCGAAGGTCCTGGGACTGTAGCCGGAACCGTTGGGGCATAACCTCCAGCGGAGCCGTCAAAGATGCAGGCTTGATGATAGATTAGGGTTCTGTTTGGCCCCTTCCTTGTAAGGATTTTTCAAAAGCCTTGTAAAAGTACCTCTGCGAGCCATATGTATAATAGGCCTATTGTTTTTACCATTCTTTTCTCCTTTGTCCTTTGTCCTATTGGGTCACTGTGACCTTCGATTTTAGCGCTGGCGGTAGTGGCTCTTATGCGTTTGGTCGATGCGACCTTCAATTTTAGTACTGGCAATAGTGGCTCTTATGCGTTGGGTTGGTACGACCTTTTGTATAGTCTGAAAACAATGGCTCTTACGCTTTTGCTCTTAGGTATATTTAATTAACTATTTTGGGTTTAGTGTCCGAATCGAGTTTCGACTCAAGCTCATTCGACCCTCAAGTTTTTGAATTTAAAGCTGGTCCTTAGGATCTTACATGTTGGGTCGGTACAACCTTTTGCATGGGCTGGCAACAATGTCTCTTATGCCTTGGGTCGATGTGACCTTTTATGTGGGCTGGCGAGAGTGTCTCTTACGCCTTGGGTCGATGCGACCTTTTATGTAGGCTTTATTTTTCCCTTGATAAGGATTTTTTGAAATAGTGTTTTCTTGACTCTTCAACGGTTTAATAAAAAACCTCGATTGTGAGTCATTATATGGCGATGATCGAGCACCTCGGGAGGTTTGGCTCAGAGTCTGAATATCTCGAAGCTAGTGTTCAGGAGCTGACATGCTCGAAGCTCTTTTGCCTATGTCAAGGGTAGCCTATTTAACCGGTTCTTTCCGAAGTATATTCGAAGTAATTGAATGCCTGTGATTTTATAGTGATGGTCAGGCGTCCCCGAGTCGTGTTAGTTTGGCTGGTACAACCTTGTAACCATAGTCATTTGTGTTTGGCCGGAGCCTTTAAGTCCCGAGTGAGGTAGTTTCGGTGTCTATATCGAGGGTATGCCTTTTTAGGGGTCATACAAGTTCGATATATAGCCTAAACTTTGAGATCGGGTTTATGCCTTTAGTAAGGTCTTACAAGTTTTGGATACTTGGTACAAGTATGGTTCATGCCTTGCTTGAGGTCTTACAGATATTGCCACTTGGTACAAGTATGGTTCATGCCTTTCTTGAGGTCTTACGGATATTGCTATTACCTTATATAGGTCTTACGAGATCGAGGCTGCCTGCGTGCGGTCTTATGGTCTTGGGTTTTGATAAGTCGATGGAGATGGTGATTGACAGCAGTCCATGAGTCGTCGAGGATTTCTCTGCTTGGGAGCCATTACTTGCAAACTTGGTATTGCCTCTTTGAGGGCTTACAATTTTGGAGTTTCCAACCTGGAGGTCATGTGGCTTTGAGTTTTTGACGCCAGTCCCCGAGTGTTCGGGACGTTTTTGGCTCTCGGATTGTTTTGTGATCTCGTTGTTGCCTCATTGAGGACTTATGAGTTTGAAGCTCCGACCCAGGGATCGTGCTATTCCGAGTTGTTGACGCCAGTCCCCGAGTATTCGGGACGTTTTTTGGCTCCAGGCCATTTTTTGCAAAAAAATGTCGAGCTTCCTTGAGATGCAAAAATGCTTTTGGGAAGTATTCTTTGATTACTTGGTACAAGTATACATGCCTTTGCTGTTAGGGGTTTGGTTGTTCTATGCGGACACGGTTCGTTTGACCGTTTGGCCCGGTACATTATTTTCTTATCGAGATCCCCTTTGGCGTATCTTGGCTTCTCTGAGTAGGTGACCTTTCCCAATGTCGAGCTTCCTTGAGACGCAAAAATGCTTTTGGGAAGTATTCTTCGATTACTTGGTACAAGTATACATGCCTTTGCTATTAGGGGCTTGGTTGTTCTATGTGGACACGGTTCATTTGACCGTTTGGCCGGATACATTATTTTCCTATCGAGACCCCCTTGGCGTATCTTGGCTTCTACGAGTAGGTGACCTTCCGGGGGGATGCCCTATTATATTTGAGGTTGATTGCGAAAGAAGTCTTGAATGCTTGTTGGTTCTTCCGTAGGTAGCATATAGATGTTGCCTCGTTAAAAACCTTGCCGGTAAAACTCTTTTAGGGATGAAATCCGGTCGAAGGAAAAGAGTGCAACACATGTTTACATAGCCTGAGGCCCTCGAGCTTGAGGATGTTTCAGAATCTTCCATCGGATGCCTTAGCAGTAGTATTGTTTCAGCATTGATATGTTCCAATTGCTTGGAAGCTGCTCGCCTTCCATGGTGCCGAGCTTGTAGGACCCCTTGCCGATTATTTCGAGGATGTGGTACGGTCCTTCCAAATTTTGGCCTAGCTTTCCTTCATTAGAGTTTCGGGTGTTGAGGGTGACTTTCCTTAGGACCAAGTCCCCGACTCCGAGATGTTGGAGGTTTGTTCTCCTATTATAATACCTTTCGATTCTTTGCTTTTGGGCAGCCATTCGGACCAGTGAGGCTTCTCGCTTTTCATCTAATAGTTCGAGGGACGTAGTCATGGCCTCGTTGTTTAAGCTCTTAGTGGTGTGTCACAATTTGGTACTCGACTCCCCGACCTCCACTGGTATCAAAGCCTCGGCGCCATATACTAGAGAGAAAGGTGTTTCCCCTGTGCTTAATTTTGAAGTTGTTCGGTATGCCCATAGCACTTTGGGCAATATTTCTCTCCATTTTCCCTTAGCGCTTTCCAACATCTTTTTTAAGTTTTGGATGATGGTTTTATTTGTGGACTCGGCCTAGCCGTTTGCACATGGGTGGTAAGGCGTCGACATGATTCTCTTATTTTGTGATCTTCAAGGAACTGTGTTACTTTGCTTCCGATGAACTGCCTCCCATTATCGCATGTTATCTCGGAAGGAATACCGAATTGGCACATAATGTGGTCCTAGATGAAGTCAATGACTTCTTTTTCTCTTATCTTTTCGAAGGCCTACGCTTCCACCCATTTTGAGAAATAGTCAGTCATAAATAAAATGAATTTAGCTTTACTTGGTGCTATTGGTAGAGGTCCGACAAAGTCCATTCCCTATTTTATGAATGGCCATGGAAATAAGACCGAATGTAGTTGTTCGTCGAGTTGGTGAATCATAGGAGCAAATCTCTGGCATTTGTCGCACCTTTGAACAAATTCCTTAGTGTCTTTTTCCATGTTATCCCAGTAGTAGCCTGCCCTGATCACCTTTCTGACTAAGGAATCAGCGCCGGAGTGGTTTCCGCAAGTACCCTCGTGAATTTCTCGGAGTACATAATCTGTGTCTCCTGGCCCTAGACATACTGCTAGGGGGCCATCAAAAGTTCTTCTGTATAGAGTCTTGTTTTCATCGAGCGAGAACCGGGCTGCTTTGGTTCGCAGGGCCCTCGATTCCTTTGGATCTGCGGGTAATTTTCCGTCTTTCAGATAGTCAATATATTTATTCCTCCAATCCCATGTTAGGCTAGTTGAATTAATCTCGGCATGACCTTCCTCGACCACTGATTTGGACAGCTAAATAACAGCCCCGGGGAGTAGGTCATCTTCTTCAACAAATGATCATCAGGTTGGCCAGGGCATCGACCTCGTTGTTCTGGTCCCGAGGTATGTGGACCAGAGTCTATTCTTTGAAACGACATAATGTGACATGGATTTTGTCCAAATACCTTTGCATCCTGTCTTCTCGGACCTCGTAGCTCCCATTTACCTGGTTTACTACCAGGAGTGAATCGCACTTTGCTTCGACGATCTCAGCTCCCAAGCTTTTGGCCAGTTCCAGACCTGCAATCATAGCCTCATACTCGGCTTCATTGTTAGTCAATCTTGCAGTTTTTATAGATTGCCTAATTATGCCACCCGTAGGCGGCTTCAGGACTATACTGAGTCTGGATCCTCTCATGTTTGTGGAGCCGTCAATGAACATGGCCCATACACTGAAAGATCTACCTGATTTTAGTAAGAGTTCCTTTTCTACCTTGGGCACGAGGGAGGGCGAGAAGTCATCCACGAAGTCTGCCAGAATCCGGGACTTGATGGCCGTTCGGGGTTGATACTCGATACCCCCCGAATTCGATGGCCCATTTGGCCAATCGGCCTGATAGTTCGGGTTTATGCAATATGCCTTGGAGAGGGTACATTGTTAGAATGCAAATACGGTGGCATTGAAAATAGGGTTTCAATTTTGCGCGATGCACTTATTAACGCAAGAGCTAATTTTTCTAGGTGCGGATGCCTGGTTTTGGTATCCCCTAGAGCCCGACTCACATAATAAATAGGGAATTGCATACCTTGCTCTTTTCAAACCAGCACACCACTTAGCGCTATCTCGGATACGGCTAGGTATAATTACAACATTTCATCCTCTTTTGGCGTATGGAGCAAAGGCGGACTAGTCAGATATCGTTTCAATTCCTCTAAGGCATGTTGGCATTTTGGAGTCCACTCGAAGTTGTTTTTCTGTTTGAGTAAAGAGAAGAAATGATGACTCCTATCCGACGACCTTGATATGAATTTGCCCAGAGCTGATATCCGCCCTGTCAGCCATTGCACGGCCTTTACATTGTTTACCACCGTGATTTCTTCGATGGCCTTGATTTTGTCGGGGTTGATCTCGATCTCCTTGTTCGATACCATGAAGCCTAAGAATTTGCCCGAACCCACTTCGAAGGCACATTTCTCGGGGTTAGCTTAATGTTGTAACTTCTGAGGATGTCAAATATTTCCTGCAAATAAGTTAAATGGTCCTCTGTGTGTAGGGACTTAACTAGCATGTCATCAATATAAACTTCCATGGATTTGCCTATCTGGTGCTCGTACATTTTATTAACTAGACGTTTGTACGTAGCCCCCGCATTTTTTAGCCCGAAGGGCATTACATTGTAACAGTAGGTACCATACTTTATGATGAATGAAGTCTTTTCCCTATCCTCGGGGTTTATCTGAATTTAATTATACCCCAAGTAGGCATCGAGAAAGGTGAGGGTCTCGTGGCCGGCCGTAGCATCGATTAGACGATTGATGTTAGGCAATGGGAACAAATCCTTAGGGCATACCTTATTTAAATCTTTATAATCTACGCACATTTTTAACTTATTCCCCTTTTTGGGCACTACCACTACGTTGACCAACCATTTGGGGTACTTTACCTCTCTAATAGACCCTATTTTAAGGAGTTTCGTTACCTCGTCCTTGATGAATGTGTGTTTTACTTCCGACTGGGATCTTCTTTTTGCTTCACCGGTTTAAACTTAGGGTCGAAACTCAATCGGTGGGTTGTTATTTCCGACGGGATTCCTGACATATCTAAGTGGGACCAAGCAAAATAGTCGATGCTATTAATAAGGAATTGAATGAGTTTTTTCCTGAGTTCGGGGGTTAATCCCATTCCCAAGTATACCTTCCGATCCGGGAGATGCTCGATCAAAACAACTTGCTCCAGTTCTTCAATTGTCGATTTCGTATCCGACTCTTCGGGGGCAACGGAAGTTCGAGGAGCGAGGAAATCTTCTTCATCATCCTCGGGGGTCTGTATGCTCCCACAGTCATCTGAGGTGGAGTGTATAGGGTTCGGTGCCTCCTGGTAAACTGCGAACATTTCTTTTGCCGCATGCTGTTCTCCATATATGGTTGTTATGCCATCTTTTGTTGGAAATTTTATCATTTGGTGCAGAGTTGACGGCACTACCCTCATGCTATGTATCCACGGTCTTCCAAGCAATGCATTGTACCTCTTGTCATTGCCGATAACGTGGAACTTGGTGTTCTGAACCATATCGAACATGTCAACCAAGAGGGCGATCTCTATTTTCGTTACTTCACTGGCCATGTTAAAGTCGT